GAATCCTTTTTTTTTTTTTTTTTTTTTTACATTTCTACATTGGCTATTAGAACGAAATGATCATACCTACCATTATTCACACATCTTACCATGTTTCAGGAAACCCATGCTTCCAAGAAAACACTATGGCGCCTCTTTCAATGAATTTCCCTTGGGGTCCTGTCATGGGTAGGTACATCTTATCTTCCACATGTACAAAATGCAAAGCTAAAGTTAAAATCCTTCTTTGGCTTCTCACTGTTCTTAGGACAAATGTCTAAATCCTCAGTGAGCCTAAAACAAGCAGGATGATCTACTGTCAATCTTGTTTCCATTTCTCCAAAGCACCTTTAACCTGGGAGTGCGCCGGGCATGCCCTCTTCCTGCCTCAGCTCAGCTGGTTACTCAGTGCAGCTCGGTTAGCAGATCCCATCTGAAAGGCTTTTCCTCAGCCTTTCCCGATCACCCCCAGTCCTCCATAACACTCTTTATAATGCAAATGTGCACTATGTGTGTAATTTATCCATTCAATATCGGTCCCCTTCTCCCCCAGACCCTAACTCCATGACAGCCATCATGTCCCTGTTACCTACAACTCCAGTGTCTGCTTTACAGGTGTTCAATATGTATTGTGAAATGAATGAGTATTCATAAATATTTGCAATTGCCTGACATAAGCAAGCCCTTCTGTAGCTTCTATGCCCTGGAGCAAATACCAAAAGGTGAAACGTGGATTTTCTTAAAACAACTAGAGAGAATCGTTCGACATGTAATCCCTGATGTCTGGCATCTGTACTGCTCTTTTTGTAAGGAGAAATTTTCAAACAACTGCAAGAGTAGAGGGAAGAGTCCAAGGAACCCCTGTTCAGGCACCACCAGGTTAAACAATTATCAGCTCATGGGCCATCTTGTTTCCGCCAGTGTGGCCACCACTGTCACTGGTTTATTTTAAAGCTACTCCCAAGCATCATATCATCTCAACTGTAAAAACTTGCGTGTGTATCTGTGACTCTTTATAAAATTACTTTAATAACATTTGCATGCCTAAGTAATTCTTTAATATCATTACATCCAGTCAGTGTTGAAATTGTCCAAGTTGTCTGATAATGTTTTTTTCCAGTTGCTTTTTCTGGAATGCAGCCGGGATCCACAGGTTGCATTTGGCTGATAAGTCTCTAAGTCTCGTAACATGTGACAATTTCTGCATCCACTTATTTTTTCTTTTATCTTGCCATTTAAAGACACTAGGCCATCTCTTTCGTAATACTTCTTGCCTTTTTTGATTTTACAGATTCCATCCTGTAAGCTGGTAGGAAGCCTGAAGGCTTGATGGGATTCCAGTGTGGTAGGAGGCAAGAACATGCCTCAGGTGAGGAGGCACCTGAGCGTCTCTTGGGGCAGGAGCGTGGGCTGCTGGTTGACCAGATGTTCTCAATTTGATCCTACTTTATAAAGTTCCCCAATGGCTAGATCCATCATCTCCTTGAGGGTTGCAAGATGGGGATATTAAAACTCTAGGATTCCTTCTTAATTAGTGAAAACTTTTCTATAAAGAACTTTCCGGGGGTGGGGGTGGCAGTGGGGAAGGATGGGGAGAAGGGATAGTCAGGGAGTTTGGGATTGACATGCACACACTGCTGTATTTAAAATGGATAACCAGTGGACCTACTATATAGCACAGGGGACTCTGCTCAATGTTATGTGGCAGCCTGGATGGGAGGGGAGTTTGGGGGAGAATGGATACATGCATGTGTATGGCCTTTGCTGTGCACCTGAAACTATCACGTCATTGTTAATCGGCTATACTCCAATATAAACTAAAAAGTTAAAAAAAAAACTTTCCTCTATCAGCTATTGGTTTACCTTGAAATTCAGTCTGTATAGGAGAGGGAGGATAAATCCTCAATTCTTTCCCTTTACCAGTTTTCAGGGTAATTACTATTGGGTGGCTCTTTGCTTCTAGGTCTTTCCAGTGGAGAGAGTTAGGATGTGTATTTTTTAAGGGGAAAATACTCATGAGTTTATACTGTTATTTCCAATTCAAAATCAGTACCACTAAGCTTCTTTTGCTTTCATTTTATATTTGTGGCTCTTTTGTTTCATGTTGAAAATCTTGGTTCCTAATGACGTCAACATAATTATATATTCATTTTATCGGTGTGTGTGTGTGTGTGTGTGTGTGTGTGTGTGTGTGTGTGTGGTCTCCAATAACAATGACACTGATAACTGAAAACAATTTAAGCCTTTTTTGGGCAGTTCTTTTTTGCTGGCTTTATTACTGTGTTGTTCAGGTCATTCCCTGGGGGGCTACGTCCACAACTTCGTATATGGTTAAATTCATTTGTTGCATTTTGTCTCCATTTGTATTCCATTTTGTGTTGTGGTTATGGAAAACATTTCTGTGGCTCGGAAGTCAGAAGAGCCCCTAGCCATAATCCTTCCAACAGGGAATTCCCTGGTGGTCTAGTGGTTAGGACTCTGTGCTTTCACTGCTGAGGGCCTGGATTCGATCCCTGTTCAGGGAACTAAGATTCCACAAGCCACGCAGCACGGCCAAAAAAATAAAAAAATAATCCTTCCCACAGCATGGAGCCTAGCACATCAAAAACACTCAAATATTCATTGACTTTTATGACCTGTATATATGATTTTTCTAAGTCATCCACTGGGGGGATGGCTCCCACCAAGAAAGCCCAAGGCATGGTAAGGACCATGGTTTGCTCTAAAGTTCAGCTCGATTGAGAATTTTTAGGGTGCTTTATAAAGGAAAGGTCAAAAGGCATATTTCAAGATCCCCAATCTAAATCCTCCGGCTTCACCCAGAGAAGCCGGTCATAAACTGGCCAGGCCGGAGTGCTGGAGAGAGAAGAGTCCCTCATCTCCAGTTCTACCCAAGCTCTGAAACCCTCCTCTCTTCTTTTCCTTCTTCTTCTTTTTTTTTTTTCTTACATTATTATAGAGACTGTCAAAGTTTATTTTCCTTTAAGAAATGAAATGGATCTTTTTTTATTGAGGTATAATTGACATACTATATTAGTTACAGGTGTACAACATAATGATTCAATATTTGTAGATATTGTGAAATTATCACAATAAGTCTAGTTAACATCCATGACTATACATAATTACACATTTTTTGTCGTGATAACAACTTTTTAAGAGATCTATTCTCTTAGCAACTTTCACATATGCTCTATATTACATCCCCATGACATTTATTTTATAATGAGGAAAAAATTAATCAATAGTCAACCTAAGAAAGAAATGGAAAATTTCATTTGAGCCAACCTGAGGATTATAACCTGGGAGACAGCCTCTCAGAGAGCTCAGAACTGTTCTGAAGAGGTTAGGGGGCAGGGAGGCCAGTATGTCTGTGATTTTAGAGAAGGGGTACGTGCAGTCAAACACACATCTTGGTAGAAGGTTACTGATGTTCATGAGGGAAGACAGATCTTAGTTAATGGTTTTAGTGCTTTTCCAAGTATGGGAAGATGCAAGAAACTGGGTTCATAAAATTTTCTCCTGAAAATATCTAACTACCTGAGGGCCAGTTCTGCCAGTTTTCCCAGAGCACAAAAATGCCTCATCTTGTTCTTCACCATGAATTCCTTTTAGGGTATATTTTAGGTCAGTGACTGCAGCGGCTCACAACTTGATTCTTGTAGAACTGGATGGTGGGCAACATTCTTTATTTTACAAACCCTTCCCTTTCGGTCTTAATTTAGACCAAGGTTTGGGAGGCATTTCATGACCAATTTGGCCCACAACACTAGGAATGCTCATTCCCAGGTAAGGCCAGGATTTCATTGATAGGACTCTCCATGTGCTATTAGTGGATTAGGCCCTGTTGACAGTAGCCCAAAGCCTCTGGACCGCCTGTCTTACTGGTCTGTTATGGTTCAGGAAATGGTTCCCTCTTGTTGCTTCTTCCCATAGCTAGAGTTACGCTATTACCATCATTGATCTTAAGAGAACTATATATCAATATTTGGTGAATCATTTCAAGTCACTTAGTCATTGTTATTTTTATCACAGGCTCAGTCACACATCTGGTAATGCAAGAAACAATCATTTTGTAAAATAGGCAGGATATAAACAATATAGCTAGTGACATTAATAAGGTCATATGTAAGTATTTAAGCTAAGAACTTCCATTAGCTGTGGCCCCGTATCTCCCCAGGTCATGTGACCTGGTCTGTTCTGTACCCGTCGCTATCTTTAAGAGAAATGATATATTGGCATTGTACATAAAATTCACCAAAGATGTATGTACATCCAAGGTGAGTGGTGGGTCATCGTGATCCCTTACAGGATTGAGAAAGGAATGTTATCTTCAAAGGGGTTACATGGCTGGCGCTAGAAAAAGAAAAATTCATGTTTATGGTTGAGCAGGTATTTCTGCCATTAGGGAGTTCAGGTTAATGCATAAATGCAGATGCACAATGCACACGAGAGGGGAGGCAGGAGGCCCAAACGGGCAGAGTAAAAACAGTTTGTTTAAATTTTTCTTGTCTTGCCTTAAAATATGAATTTTATTTCATCAAATCCTAGCTCACAGCAGATAGGGAAGACTTACAACTGTCACATGATCTCTAAAAGAAAAGTTAGCGGCAGAACCATTTATAGAAACCAGGTGTTCTGTCTTTTGGCCTCCCCCAGGCATATTAATCTTCACCATCTTGTGTATTGAGCAAAGGCTTCAAAGTTGCGGCACCGGCAGGGCTGGACGCTCAGTAGGATTGGCCTTGCACGATCGTGCGTGGCTCAGCTGGGGTGCAAAACCCAAGAAGGTCCTTTTCCCGCGGGGCCTGGAGGTGTAGCCTCACTTTCCCACGTAGGCACCCTCAGGTCTCCGGCGCCTCACCTGCCGGCTGCTCGGTGACGGAGAGATCCCTCAGCCTCGCCCTCTGACTCTGACACCCAATGGGCGGCCGCGGGCCTCAGGTGGGCGGGGCACGCCCTGGGAGCCGTTCTGGTTGGCCCGCGGCCCGGCGAAGCGCATGACGTCTCCGTCGCGTCGTGCTGGCGTGAAGTGGTAGCGCCCGCTCCGGGAACCTGAAGGAGACTTGGAGGCATCTGGGCCGCGCTGCTTGGGTCGTTGGGAGTCGCCGCTGCCGCCGCTGCCGCCACTGCCCGCACTCCATGAGGAAGATGCTCGCCGCCGTCTCCCGCGTGTTGTCGGGCGTCGCCCAGAAGCCGGTGAGGTGGCGTGAGCGACCCGGGGTGGGGCGCGAGTGGGCCCGAGGCCGGAGGACGCCAGAGGGCAGGACGAGCGGGCTGAGTGGGCCGGGCGGGCCGGGCCTTGTGGAGCCGCGGGCCTTTGTCCTGCCTCCACGTCGTGCGCTCCGCTCCTGGCCGCGAGGGGAGCGGTGGTTTGGCCCTCGGGCGCCGACTGAGGGAGGGGGAGCTTTACAAGGCCCGTGTGGAGGTCAGGCGCGGCTCCCGGTGCCGGCCTGGTCGGTGCGCTCTGGAAGGGCCCGTTCGTTTACCTCCGACAGAGAAGGGGGCTTTGGGATTCCTCGAGTCTCCAGCCGACCGCCTCTTCCCAGCCCACTCATTTTAAATCTTCCTCTTGACCGGGAATCCGGAGACAGAGTGGCTCCATTCACACTTCAGTTTCACCAGTTACTAGCCCTGTGACCTTGAGTAGGAGGTTTTTGTTTTTTCTTCAAGATCCCCGTGCTCAGTTTCCTCATCTCTAACATGGAGGTGAGAGTACTTACCCCGTGGGGTTGTGGTTTTTTTTTTTTTTTAAATGAGGATGAGAGACGGTGAGGCTTAAACGAGTGACAAATATGTAAACGTTTCCCGGTAGCGCCTGGTACATGGTAGGTGCTACCTGTGTTAAACATTGTTATTATCATTTAGGATCTCTGTTGCCTTATTGATTCTCTGTATGGAAGTTCTGTCCATTGATGTGAGTGGGGTGTTAAAGGCTCCTACCAGTACTGTATTCCGGTCAATTTCTCCCTTTATGTCTGTTAGTATTTGTTTTATGTATTTGGGTGCTCCTATATTAGGTTCATATATGTTGACGGGTGTAAAATCATTATATAGTGTTCTTTATCTTTCTTTATGCTATTTGTTTTAAAGTCTATTTTGTCTGATATGAGTATTGCAACCCCCGCTTTCTTGTCATTTCCGTTTGCATTCCCTCACTTTCAATCTTTGTGTGTCCTTTGCCCTAAAGTGGGTGTCTTGTAGGCAACATATTTTAGGCTCTTGGTTTTTTTTTAATCCAGTCTGCCACTCTGTGTCTTTTGATTGGGGCATTACTGACATTTAAGGTAATTATTGATACATATGTATTCATTGCCATTTTAAACCTTGTTTTCCAGTTTATTCTATGTTTCCTCTTTGTTCCTTTCTTTTTGTGGTTTGAGGATTTCCTTTTATTTTATGCTTGTGTTTTCTTTCTGGTTTTTGTGAATCTATTGTATGTTTTTGACTTGCGGTTGCCGGGTTTTTCAAGTATGTGAACCCCTTCCTGTATCTGTTTGCTTTAGACTGGTAGTCATATAGGCTCAAATGCATTCTAAAAAAACAAATGTACATCTTGTCACTCTCCTTCCCCACATCTTATGATTTTGATGTCTTTTTTTTTTTTTTTTTTTTTTTTTTTTTTCGCGGGCCTCTCACTGTTGTGGCCTCTCCCGTTGCAGAGCACAGGCTCCGGACGCGCAGGCTCAGCGGCCATGGCTCACGGGCCTAGCCGCTCCGCGGCATGTGGGATCTTCCCGGACCGGGGCGAACCCGCGTCCCCTGCATCGGCAGGCGGACTCTCAACCACTGCGCCACCAGGGAAACCCTTGATGTCCTTTTGATTACATCTTCATGTTTATCCTTCTGCTGTTCCTTGTGTTTATCATCACTTTCACAAATAGTTTTTTTTGTTTTGATCTGTATAGTGGCTAATTTAAGTGATTTACTTTCCAATTGTGACTTCCTCCTTCCTATATCTTCTTTTCTATATAGAGAAGAACTTGGAGTATTTCTTTTAGGGTAGGTTTAGTATTGCTGAATTCTTTTAGTTTTTGCGTGTCTGAGAAATTCTTTATTTCTTCTCCTATTCTAAATGATCTTCTTGCTGGGTAGCGTATTCTAGGTTGCAGATGTTTCCCTTTCAAGGCTTGAATATATTTTGCCACTCCCTTCTGGCCTGCAGCATTTCTGTAGAGAAATCAGCCGATAGCCTTATGGGGATTCCCTTGTAACTAACACTTTGTTTTTCACTTGCTGCCTTTAAAATCCTCTCTTTAACTTTTGCCATTTTATTATAATAAAATGTCTTGGTGTAGGTCTGTTTGGTTCATCTTGTTGGGACCCTCTGTGCTTCCTGTATCTGGATATCTGCTTCCTTCTTTAGGCTTGGGAAGTTTTCAGTCATAATTTCTTCAAGTACATTTTCAGTCCCCTTTTCTCTTTCTTCTCCTTCTGGAATCCCTATTATGCGTAGATTGGCACACTTTATATTATCCCATAGGTCTCTTATATTGCTTTCATTTTTTTTCACTTGCCTTTCTGTCTGCTGTTTTGATTGGGTAATTTCCACTATTCTACTTTCGAGGTCACTTATTCTTTCTTCTGCATTATTCATTCTGCTATTCATTGCCTCTAGCTCAGCTTTCGTCTCAGCAAATGAAGCTTCTAATTTTTCTTGGCTCCTCTTTCTAGTTTATTTTTACAGTACCCTGCATTTCTGTCGATAGCCTTTCTTAAGTCCTTCAGTATTTTCATTATCTCCTTTTTGAACTCGGTATCTACTAGACTGAAACCCTAGTTTCATTGTTTGTTCCTTCAGGGGAATTTTCTTGGTCTTTTAACTGAGAGTAGTTCCTCTGCTTCTTCATTTTGCTTATATTTTTCTTACTCTCTGAATTTAGGAGAAACAATTATCTACTGTAGTCTTGGAGGGCTACTTATATGCAGGTGCCTCCCTGCGTAGTTTGTGTGGGTTGAATATTTTTTTGGCATGAGGGCTGTTTTTGGTTTGGATTCTTGCCGTCTCTTTGCTCTGCGTGTGCTGGTCGTTATCCCCTTGATAGGGGATGTGCAGGTGCGTGGCCCGCGTGTGCTCCCGGGGAGGGTGGGGGCAGTGGTGGGTGCCCAGTCACGGGACCCTTGGCAGCTGCAGTGGTCTGCATCCGCCTCTGGAGTCCGAGATGGCAGTGGCGGCTCGAGTCCGCCCCCCGGAGCTCGTGTAGGTGGTGCCCTGCTGCCTGAGAGTACACGCACGGAGAAAGAAGCTCCTATGGCGGTCCCACCTCTCTCTTCGTGCACCCCCCCAACAATGGCCCCTTGCCTTTCTGGCGGGCCCAAGCTTCTTCCCGTATTCCCTCAGTTATAGTGCACCGCACTCCAGCCCCCTCAGGCTGTCGTCTCCACGTAGCCAACTCCAGTCCTTTCCCTGGGTCTGACCTCCGAAGCCCAAACCTCAGCACCCAGCCCTTGCCCAGCCCAGTGGAGGAGCTTCTCAAGCTGGGGAGTGCAGGGTCGTGGTACCAACCGTCTGTGTAGGACTCTCTCCGCTTTGCTTTCCGCAGACCAGTTGCTGCACTCTCCTCCGAGGTTCCGAAGCTCCACCTTTGTCCTGGGTGATATCTCCACCAGTGAGGGGACTTCTCAGGGTGTGGAAACCTTTTCTTTTTCACAGCTCCCTCCCAGGGGCGCAGGTCCCGTCCTGATTGCCTTCTCTCTTTTTTTTCTTTTTTCTTTTGTCCTACCCAGTTATGTGGAGATTTTCTTGCCCTCTTGGGTGTCTGAGGTCTTCTGGCAGAGAGCTCAGTAGATGTTCTGTGAGAACCGTTCCACACGTAGATGTATTTTTGGTGTATTGATATTTGTGGGAGAAGGTGAGCTCCACGTCCTACTCCTCCACCATCTTGATCCGAATCTCCCTCACACTTTTTTGTTTTGTTTTATTTTTATTTATTTTATTTGTTTATTACTTTTGGCTGCGTTGGGTCTTCGTTGCTGCACGTGGGCTTTCTCCAGTTGCAGTGAGCGGGGGCTACTCTTCGTTGTGGTGCGCAGGCTTCTCACTGCAGTGGCTTCTCTTGTTGCGGAGCACGGGCTCTAGGCGCACGGGCTTCGGTAGTTGTGGCACACGGGCTCAGTAGTTGTGGCTCGTGGGCTCTAGAGCACAGGCTCAGTAGTTGTGGCGCATGGGCTTAGTTTCTCGTGGCATGTGGGATCTTCCCGGGCCAGGGCTCAAACCCGTGTCCCCTGCACTGGCAGGCAGATTCCTAACCACTGTGCCACCGGGGAAGCCCCGAAGCTCAGGTTCTTGATGTCTCATCGCAGAAAGAATTCAGTGAGAGACAAAGTGATAGGTAAGAAGTGGATTTATTTAGAGAGAAACACACTCCACAGAGTGTGGGGCCATCTCAGAAGGTGAGAAAGGCCCCCCCCCACTTCTGATATGACTTTTAGCTTAACTTTCGCTTAATGTGGCTCCTTTCACCCATTGTATCAGTGAATCTTACTATTTTTGAGATTCATAGTAATGAAATGGGAGAAAGTATCTAAGTAGCTTTCTGACAGTCAAAATCTTTGACCTTATCTTCTTGCTCTTTATTATGTAGAACTGTCATTGTTTCTTGTTGGGAATTTAGGATGGAGAAAGAGAATTTTTCCTTTCCTTGGCTACTGTTGCTTGACTGGTTTGGTCGTTAGTTTTCAGTCTCCAAAATGCAGTTTCTGTAGTTGTATCTGGAGATTTATTTTGCAAGACAAGATATATATATTTCTAGCCCCCCAAAACAATTTAACTGTCAAAAATAACATATCCATTTCATGATTGCCGAACATAACGTTTTGTTTGTCACCTCATACTTCTCAACTTTACTTCTTCCCAAATTTCTCAATTTTCTTCACTTATTCTTAGATGTATGGACTCTCTCAATCTCTAACTTAACTGAAGCATTTGTCTCTAGCAGTTCAACTTTTTTTCTCCAGCAATGTCATGGTTTTTGTTGGCTTTATTGGATAATGGTATATTGATGGGTGAAGAGATCACTAGATAATAGCTTTCTGCCTGTTGGCTTGTACACTTAGCAGATCAACCTTATCCCTTCTCACCAAGATCAAGACCATTGCTACAGGTTGGATGGTAAGGTAACACACTGTATGAACATATCAAAAGTACTTTTTGTGGGGTCTGAAGAATGCTCTTCAAGTCTGCATGAGAAGAAGTCATATTGGTTTACGTATGCGTGACGTGGCAGAATGTAGCTAAAGTAGTACAGTCCTCCTAACTGATTAAATGTTTGTGGTCTAACCTGGACCTTAGCCATCACATAGAGTACTGTTGCTGTGAGCAGAGTGAAAAGGAAACATTTCTGGCAGCTTTTTACTTGCGCCCCTCCCCCCCACCAAACAGTGACAGCCACCTGAACATCAACAAGGGAGCACTGGGGATTTCCATGGTGGTTCAATGGTTAAGACTCTGCGCTTCCAATGCAGGGGGTGCAGGTTTGATCCCTGGTTGGGGAACTAAGATCCCACATGCTGTGCGGCGTGGCCAAAAAAAAAAAAGAGGGAGCACCAGGATTCTTCGGCGGCCGTGCGGGTTTGAGGAGGCAGCTCGTGGGGGTGAGGTGCTTAAGGTGAGGTGACACAGACCTTGGAGCCAGATTTACTGGGTTTGTACCCCAGCCCCAACAGTTAAGTGCTCTATGGCTTTGGGCAACTCAGGTAGCATGAATCTCATCAGCACCGAGAGAAAAGCTTCACTGAAAACTCATTGCAGGTCCCACCCCCTCAACTCAGATGGCAACAGTGCAGTCAGAGGCCTGCCCCTCTAAGCCTCAGAATAGGAATTCTGTAGCAATAGGAATTGAGGTTAAAACACAGATGCCACCAATCTGCACACCAAATGGCATGAGTCAATGACACCAGCTCCGAGATCTGTTTTGAGCCTAAGCAATGGTCCAAGTTGCACATAGGTCACCTTGCTTGATCTAACAACAGATCAACCTCAGAAAGAGGGATTTTTGTCAGAATTTCACCCACTGAAAAAACAGCTGGCTAATCTGGTTTTTTCCCAGTAATAAATGAGAAGCTTTTATTTTATTTTTTTTAATTTTGAATTTTATTTATTTTTTTATATAGCAGGTTCTTATTAGTCATCAGTTTTATACACATCAGTGTATACCTGTGAATCCCAATCGCCCAATTCATCACACCACCATCCCCACCCCACCGCGGCTTTCCCCCGTTGGTGTCCATACGTTTGTTCTCTACATCTGTGTCTCAACTTCTGCCCTGCAAACCGGTTCATCTGTACCATTTTTCTAGGTTCCACATACATGCGTTAATATACGATACTTGTTTTTCTCTTTCTGACTTACTTCACTCTGTATGACAGTCTCTAGATCCATCCACGTCTCAACAAATGACCCAATTTCATTCCTTTTTATGGCTGAGTAATATTCCGTTGTATATATGTATCACAACTTCTTTATCCATTCGTCTGTTGATGGGCATTTAGGTTGCTTCCATGACCTGGCTATTGTAAATAGTGCTGCAATGAACACTGGGGTGCATGTGTGTTTTAGAATTATGGTTTCCTCTGGGTATACGCCCAGTAGTGGGATTGCTGGATCATATGGTAATTCTATTTTTAGTTTTTTTTTTTTTGCGTTGCGCGGGCCTCTCACTGTTGTGGCCTCTCCCGTCGCGGAGCACAGGCTCCAGATGCGCAGGCTCAGCGGCCATGGCTCACGGGACCAGCCGCTCCGCGGCACGTGGGATCTTCCCAGACCGGGGCACGAACCTGCGTCCCCTGCATCGGCAGGCGGACTCTCAACCACTGCACCACCAGGGAAGCCCTATTTTTAGTTTTTGAAGGATCCTCCATACTGTTCTCCATAGTGGCTGTATCAATTTACATTCCCACCAACAGTGCAAGAGGGTTCCCTTTTCTCCACACCCTCTCCAGCATTTGTTGTTTGTAGATTTTCTGATGATGCCCATTCTAACTGGTGTGAGGTGATACCTCATTGTAGTTCTGATTTGCCTTTCTCTGATAATTAGTGAGGTTGAGCAGCTTTTCATGTGCTTCCTGGCCATGTGTATGTCTTCTTTGGAGAAATGTCTATTTAGGTCTTCTGTCCATTTTTGGATTGGGTTGTTTGTTTCTTTAATATTGAGCTGCATGAGCTTTTTATATATTTTGGAGATGAATCCTTTGTCTGTTGATTCATTTGCAAATATTTTCTCCCATTCTGAGGGTTGTCTTTTCATCTTGTTTGTGGTTTCCTTTGCTGTGCAAAAGCTTTGAAGTTTCATTAGGTCCCATTTGTTTATTTTTGTTTTTATTTCCATTACTCTAGGAGGTGGATCAGAAACGATCTTGCTGTGATTTATGTCAGAGAGTGTTCTTCCTATGTTTTCCTCTAAGAGTTTTATAGTGTCCGGTCTTACATTTAGGTCTCTAATCCATTTTGAGTTTATTTTTGTGTATGGTGTTAGGGAGTGTTCTGATTTCATTCTTTTACATGTAGCAGTCCAGTTTTCCCGGCACCACTTATCGAAGAGACTGTCTTTTCTCCATTGTATATCCTTGCCTTTGTCGTAGATTAGTTGACCATAGGTGTGTGGGTTTATCTCTGGACTTTCTATCTTGTTCCATTGATCTCTGTTTCTGTTTTTGTGCCAGTACCATATTGTCTTGATTACTGTAGCTTTGTAGTAAAAAATGCTAGCTCTGTAAAAAATGCCATTGGTAACTTGATAGGGATTGCATTGAATCTGTAGATTGCTTTGGGTAGTATAGTGTTTTTCACAATATTGATTCTTCCAATCCAAGAACATGGTATATCTCTCCATCTGTTGGTGTCATTTTTAATTTCTTTCATCAGTGTCTTATAATTTTCTGCATACAGGTCTTTTGTCTCACTAGGTAGGTTTATTCTTAGGTATTTTCGTCCTTTTGTTGCAATGGTAAATGGGAGTGTTTCCTTAATTTCTCTTTCATATTTTTCATCATTAGTGTATAGGAATGCAAGAGATTGCTGTGCATTAATTTTGTATCCTCCTACTTTACCAAATTCATTGATTAGCTCTAGTAGTTTTCTGGTAGCATCTTTAGGATTCTCTATGTATAGTATCATGTCATCTGCAGACAGTGACAGTTTTACTTCTTCTTTTCCAATTTGTATTCGTTTTCTTTCTTTTTCTTCTCTGATTGCCGTGGCTAGGACTTCCAAAACTATGTTGAATAATGGTGGTGAGAGTGGACATCCTTGTCTTGTTCCTGATCTTAGAGGAAATGCTTTCAGTTTTTCACCATTGAGAATGATGTTTGCTGTGGGTTTGTTGTATATGGCCTTTATTATG